TTGGCGGATACAACATGCCAAAGGATTCGCTGCCTCACCTGGTCCTTATTTCCGTGAGCCTATCCTGTCTTTCCTCCCGAACCTGTGACAGATTTTTAGAAAAAAGAGAAAGTCAACTGCACGTTTCCCTTTGCTAACTGGTCCCAGGCCGTCCTGCAGGCTCTGCTGCTGCAATCTCATCTTCATGTTTCAAATCTTGGTCCTACACGTACTCTATACAAAATTTCAGGTAGAGCTGTGATTATTGCCTATAAGGAGAGAGAGAGAGAGAGAGAGAGAGAGAGAGAGAGAGAGAGAGAGAGAAAGAGAAAGAGAGATCTTACGCTTCCTCAGTGCTTGTTGGTGTGAAAGCAAGACACAATTTTTATTCTTCAATGCACAAGTTACGTGCTTTTGTTGCTATGTGAACCAAGTACAATGACTTGGAAACCTAATTTACCAGAATATTTGTGTGTCGAGTGGCACTTGGGGAAAAACAACATGACCGTCCTTCACTGACTGGCATTATTCTGCCTTCTGATTCCGTGCTCAAGAAAACTTCCTGGCATACATTTGACCATGTACAGTGTAGATTGCAACAACTTCCTCTCAGCGTTAGGAAGTGTGAGCGAGGTCATCTGTACCATGTGCTATGAAACGAGACGTTGTCATCGGTGTGATCCAGCCTCTGTGCTCACTGAAGCAATGGCGTTAGACGGCTTTGTTTCGGCTTGAACCTCAGATCTGCTGAAAATCAAAACCAAAAGCAGAAACCAGCTTCTTCATGGTTTTGCTAGGAGAGCTACATTAAAAAAAATCTCAAGCTGCATTTGGCTCTTAGGATAAATTAAATGAATGGCAAAAACCTTCCAAATGGCATCACTAAGTGCTCGGAGTGCGGGTGTAGTGATAATGACAAAGAATGGGAAAAAAAAGGCTCTGAATCCCAGGTCACGCAGTATCGGGAGCCAGGAAATTTCCCAGTGGCAGCTGCTGTCAACCTTAAGGTGACTGGGTCCGCGGTCAGCGCTGCCCTGAAACATTTTTGTGATGTGTCCTACCAGGCTGGCTTGATGGGGTTTTCCAGCTTAACTTCGTTTTACCTGGAGCTTGGAGCGGTGGAATTTCAGAACGTGTCCTACAAATAAAGCAACAGTGGTGAGATGCTAAATCAAGGGGACGCAGCCATGATTGTCATTTAGGGGCAGAAGGGAGCGTCTCATAGCAGCATCCAGCAGTGCAGAAGCTTCAGTTTCACGGAACTGAGAGAAGCAGTCACTGGAGCCAGAATTCTGGGCCGCCAGGAGACAAGTGCTTTAGAAACAAATACTGTAACTTCTGCACCCTCCACGCACCTCCGGGGCTTGGTTTAGGCTGTTTTAGAAGCCAGACCTTAAAACCTGGTGTTTCTGATCTTATTCTGACCACTGTCAACAAGAGGAAGGGAAAGGAAGGGAAATGTCTGTGGACATGAACATTAGAGCTGATGAATCACCACCAAGCTGTAGGGCCTAATAGCATAATTATGCGCTGTGACTTTGTTCTGGATTTTTCATCCTGTGGTCACCCAGAGCACCGCCAGTGGGCCTGCACACAGGAGGAAGGCGCTTATGGGCTGTCACACTCCCCTCCAAAGCCACGCTGGGTCCTAACCTCCAGTACCTCAGAATGGATCATATTTCTGCAGAGCCAGTCTAGTGAGAAGGACATTTTCGGGGTGGGCTCTGATTCACTGAGACGGGTGTCCATATAAAATAGGGACACCTCCACACAGACATGTGTGAGAGAAAAATGCCATGGGCAGATGGGGGCGTGCAGTGAGTGACTTGTCTACAAGCCGAGGAACACCAAGCATGACCAGCAAGCCACCAGACCTAGAGACCAGGCATGGGACAGATTCTCTCTCTAAGCTTTGGAAGAAACCAACCCAGCAGAAGGTCTTGATCTAAAGCCTCAGCCTCCATATCTGGGAGACAAAAAATGTCTATGGTCCAAGGTTTCCAGTCTGTAGCATTTGTGACAGAGACCTAGAGAATGGATCCATAGGATCCCATGGTGGTAGGCACTAGGTGACCATAACCAGGCAGGAAGGCAAGGACAAGGGGCAGCAGCTGGGAAAGCATCTCTGAGGATCTGGCTCTGACACAGGCTCTAAAGTGTGTACGCTGGAGATGGCAGAAACAACCTACTAAGTGTGAGAACAAACGGCACAGGGGCGTGACAGGTGGAGTCATGAGATAAAACTACAGAAGTGCTTTTTCTTCTGCATTATTTGAAAGGCATTTGACTACCAGGCCCTAGACCAGAGAGGACTGATTTCCAGGGACGTTACAGCTACAGAAGGAGGATGGGCAACCTTTGCTTTCTTTCCACCATTTCTCCACTCTCCTTTTTCTTAGCCTCTAGATACTCAAATGTTATTTGATGAATTAGTTCATATATGTCTGGGACTCTACAAGTTAGGGAAGATTAGATTACTTATGCGTATAGCAGGCAAGATACATGTCTTTGTCTGTTTTCTATTGCTATAGCAAAATATCTGAGGTTGAAAACTTACAAAGAGGTTTGTGTGGCTCATGACTTTGGTGGCAGGAGGGTCCAAAGAGTGCAGAACCTCCTCGGTGCCTCCCAACATGCTTAATGGGTAGAAGGGTGAGTGGGAGGAAAGGATGAATAGGTAAAAAGACCGTGTGCAGAAAGGAGAGAGAGGCCACGTGGCAAAAAATCTGAGAGGGCCAGACTGGATATTTTTTGCTTATAATAACCTGCCTTTGGGGAACTAATCTATTCCCACCAGACCCGACCAACTGCCTTAGTCTCTTACTTTATGGCTGGGACCACATATCCAACACCTGCAGTTTGGAGGAGGAGAGGTTCATTTTGGCCCACAGTTTGTGACAGTTCCCATCCATGACTGGCTGGCTCCTAGGCAGGGCAGAAGGCAGAGGGGCGTGGCACAGGACAGCTGCTCTCCCCATGGTGTCCAGGGGCAGAGAGAGAAGGGAGGACGCTGCGAAGGCTAAGTGTTGCTGTCATGGATTGTCTCCACTCTGTCCTATGTCTCCTCTGCAGAACTGAGTAGCCATCAATGAAGAGTTTAATCTAATTCGTGACTTTAAAATCAATGTTTCTGAAGTATTATGAAGTATGAGGCTCTTACGCAAGATTTAATAGCTATCTGTTGCATTTAGGAAGTGCTTTTTTACTCTTAGATTTTTCAGATTTCGTAGCTGTTGTTGTATCTAGGAAGTTCCTTTTTACCCTTCAATTTTTCAGAGGTTTTTTTTAAAACCATCAAAATAGTTGAATTTTATCAAGTGTCTCTTCTTAAAAGTCTGCCTGAGATTTTTTCTCCTACATTTTTAATGGGTTTAGTTAGATGAATAACTTTTGTGATATTTAATTGTTCGTCTTATTCCAGGGAAATTCCAACAGGTCATTACGATTGTTTTCCCATGTGATATAAACATGGCTTTGTCAAGACCTTTCATCTCACTTGCTCTTCCAATGGGTACGGCTTCTTACTTCCTTCTTTTAAGAGTTGGGTTGATGCTCCTCCAAGGGATTTTGAATGTGCCATAGCTGTGGTGGGACTTTTAAGGTTCGGCCTTATGAGATGGGGCTGTTTCTGCCTTGGTCTGGAGCTGTGTGCTCTGGGCTCTGAGCCATCACGAGGTCAGAAAGTGCCCGGGTCCTGCTGAGACTCAAATGGAAGAGCTCCGTGGTCTCCAGCCATAGCTGAGACCCAGAATCCATGTGGCAGCAGGTGGGGCACCACCTACTGATTCTTCTGTCCCCAGTGAGGTCACTTCTGGTAGGTGACCAGGGACACAGGCAGGTGTGCTGTGAATGATATCTTCACTAACATCACAGCATTATAAGCAAAGTAAGATACAAAAGTCACTTTAAACCACTAAGTGTGAAGATGTTTATCATCAATTACATGATAATTGATTTCAATTGCTGATATTTTAATATTTTTGCATCTACTTCCATAAAGAAGATCCATCAACGTTTTTTTCCTACTGTCCTTGAAGTTTGATTTTCATATCAAAGCGACACCATGTTTTCAAAATGAGCTGGCATGCGTTTCTATTTTTTCCTAGTCTCTGACTGTCTTGGGAAATTTGAAATTATTTGTTATTTAATGTTTGATTTGAAAAACCTTCATATAAAAATGTTAGAGCTTACACATTTTCTCCCTTTGAAAGATTTTTGCTCATTGGGAAGTTTTCTCAAGGATAGGCTCTATTCTGATTTCCTAAGTTACTTTGTTTTGGATTTTCTTAGAAATCCTCCTTGGAGATCATATCCTCCAAGCTTTTAAAATTATGAACATCCTCACAAGTTTCGCTGCAGCTAAGCTGGGTTTCCTCACCGGTGATAAACAGTTTCTCTTCCTTCTGGTTCCTTGCTCAGACTCAACACAAGGATGTTTATTTGGTTCATCTGAACCAGCTTTCCCTAAATGTTCATCTTTCTAGCTTCTAACGCTCTCAGAAAGAAGATCAAAGAACTAGTTTCCATTTTTGTTAATGCCTCTCCCCACCTTGTACTGAGTATTGAACCCAGAACAATGAACTACAATCATCTATACCTATCTATCTATGCATCCGTCCACCATCTATTCATCATCTGTACACCCATCATCCGTTCACCCATCTATCCATCATCTATGTATGTATGTATGTATGTATCTATCTATCAGCTATCCAGACAGGGTCTCTCTAGATTGCTAAATTGTTCCGGTTGGACTCTAGTTTATAATCCTCCTGCCTCAGTCCTACATGGTTTACTGTCTTTACTTTTATCATTCTCTGGAATGAACATTCGGTGAGTGCCATTTCTCTCTTAATTTTTCTTTTTTATTTTTAAAGTGAACCCTTAGTTTCCTGTTTCTGCACTGTTTCCTGTCTACTGAGCACAAGGGCACACCTGGGCAGCCTCAAGCCCCGCCCCGCCCCGCCCGCCCCGCCCCCTTGACAGCCGGTCCGCCCCTGACGGAAGCGGAAGTGGCCTCGGCCCGGGCGGAAGCAGGAAGTGAGTGAGCAGGGCGACGGTCGTGAGGCTGCAGGCGGCGGTTGCGGAGCTGAGGCGTCGCTGGGCAGATGGCGGAGAAGTTTGACCACCTGGAGGAGCACCTGGAGAAGTTCGTGGAGAACATCCGGCAGCTCGGCATTATCGTCAGCGACTTCCAGCCCAGCAGCCAGACCGGGCTCAACCAGAAGCTGTGAGTGCGGGTCCGGGCCTGCGTCCCTCGCCTGCCTGCCTGCCGCCGCCTGCCCCGAGGCCGCTGGGGACGTTGTCGCCGGCAGATCGGCGGCTCCGACCGAGTTCTGGCGGTGGCGCCCGGGGACGCTCCTGGCCCTTCCCGGTTCCTCTCCCCGGTCCCGGCCCCGCGCTGCCTGCCATAGGACCGGCCGGGACGGGCGGCGACCGCGCAAGGCGCTCCGGAGCGAGTGTCAGTGCCTTCGTGCCCGGCGCTGGCCGTGCCGCTCGGCCCCGGGACGGAGAAAAGCACATGTAGGAGCTGGGCAGAAAATGGCTAAACACTTACTACAGGAACAGGCACATTGCCGTGAATCCGCCTCAGAATGCTGCCTCTCGCTTCTCACGCACGTATCCCCTTGCTCTCACCACTTTTTGAAGTAGTTCAGAGAAAAATTAAAAAAAAAAAAAAAACGGTCACTGTGTTGATCACATCCATGTACAAAGTGCCCTGGAGAAGGGCTCACCGCTTTTCACGAGGCACTGATACGCAAATAATTACATGCAGGGTTGCACTTAGCAGTACTCTAGGAAAGACCCAGGGTCGGGGCGGCTGGGTGATCCAGGGGGACCGGGGCAGGAGCCGAAGTTCAGCTGGGCAGGATGTTTCTGTCCCTCGGAGCCTCCTGCTTCACTAAACTCGGTACAGAGTCCGGTGCAGGACCCGGTTAATGGTTTAGAGAGGTTCTGATTTTCATTTGAGTCCCCAAAAGTTGCCTCCCTGTCCCCAGTGGCAGTCTCTAGTTTAGGAGGAAAATCAAATGTTTGAGCCTACTGCATTTTCTAACTCTACCTTCGTGAGCCCGATGTGCAGGTGTCGTGAGGGCACTGGTGTGGGCAGATGGCCCCGTGAGGGCGCTTCAGCTGCCATCTGAATTAACCAGACGCCCCTGTTCTTGCCTCTCTCCCAGGAATTTCATCGTCACTGGTTTACAGGACATAGACAAGTGCAGGCAGCAGCTCCATGACATTACTGTCCCTTTAGAAGTTTTTGAGTAAGTATCGCTCTTGATATTAATCTGGGGTGTGACTCCTGGGCCCCAGTGTTGTCAAACCTATGGCACAGGTGTTTTCCTTTTAAGACAAAGATGTTCATGTATGAGTGGTTCTTTGTAAACGGATACCTTGGTGTTAGGGTTACATTGCTGTGTTGGCATTGTGGGATAAGTACGTGGGTTTGGTGCTGCAGTTTGGGCACTGAGTCTCAGAAAGGTTTGCCACCACTGGCCTAAATGCTGGGCATTTGCCAATGGGAAAAACAGACCAAGAAGCATCTGTCTGAACAATGGGATTAAAAAGTTACATGAAGAAAAAGGAATCCTCACAATGTGGCATTGTTGATAAAATGTTACATGTAAATTAAAGTTGATTAAACTTGTGAAGCCCCATAAGGCTTCTGAAAAAGCAACTATGTAACTTCTTGTGCTCCCAGAGCCCTTGGCAGCAGAGCTGGTTTCTCCCTGGTGGTGCAGGTACAGAGGAGCACTAGGTCCCTAGTGGCCTTGTTAGCAGGCACACAGAGACTCTGAACAAAGATAGAAACAAAGCTTGGCCCTGCGTCCTACCTTAGGGTGGTGCTTGCAGAAGCATGGGGGGACCCCTGGTCTTGAGGACCCCCGCCCACGTGAGGGGACCTTGCTATTTATCAGGACTTGGGAAGGGGGGGGGAAGGGTGTGCTTGTTCAGTGTGAGCTTGTCTGGTGTTTCTTTCTTTTTGAAAAATGGTTATTTATATTTAAAAATAATTGTCTTTTATTACATTATTTTAAATACATTAAAATGAAGTGGAATTTCTAGAAATTGTTTATGCTTTGCTGTCCTTAAGAGCAGTTTTTATACCCTTACAAGCCCCTCAATGGTACCATTAGTACCAAGTGGTTATACATTTTTTGTCCTAGTTGTATGTCCCTAGATAGATAGAACTTAGAGTTTGTGTAGAGTGTTCTTTAAAAATTTCTCTATAATGAATAGAGATGTTTTACTCGGGGTGTTTATCTAAATGATGGAGACTGTCTGTGGTACCGAAATGGGCAGGTCGCCTGTCTGGAGAATTTGGGTATTGGTGTAGGCGGTAGAATTCATAGGATATTCAGGATAATGGTAATATTCAGGGAGAGATGTTGAAAACTTCAGGAAACAGTTTCTCACTGTTTAGAAATAATGGAAGGGAGTCTCTCTTATGTTTCAGCTACTTAGTACATTTAGTAAAAGTTATATTGGTTAATCCCATCTCTTCTTTTTAGAGCATTGAAACAGTTTATAAAAGTACTTGGGACAGCCAGGACAGGGGCCTTTCTGCCTGTGGCTGTCCCCTCCATCCCCTTCTGGTGGCCCCCTAAACCCTCTGTACAGGGTGTCTAAGCCTTGGGGAGACCTGGCAGAGGTCTGGCAGGGTCCCGGTAGCTGGGCAGAGCCTTCTGCCCTGCAGGCCCAAAGCCCTGTGGCCCATGCCAGGTTTCCTGGTGTCAGGAGCGTCCTTGCCTCATTGGCTGGGTGCACAGAGGTCTGATGTGAGGGCCGGTGCTGCGTCTTGGAGGCTTACTGAGTCTGGCAGTCAGCGTTCGTGACTGGGTTTCCTGAGCCGCCCTAGGAAGTGGGAGCTGCCCCAGAAACGGAATCTTAGTCTCCTGGCTCCCGCCCCGACTAGGGCGGTGGGCAGGGGCGTGAGCCGCGTTCCCCTTCCCCTCACCTGTTTCTAGGTACATCGACCAGGGCCGGAACCCCCAGCTCTACACCAAGGAGTGCCTGGAGCGGGCCCTCGCCAAAAACGAGCAAGTCAAAGGCAAGATCGACACCATGAAGGTGAGGCCGGAGAGTGGGGACCTAGGGGAGCCCCTCCCCTGTGTCCACATAGCCGCTGCGCGCTCTCAGGCTCGGTAGACCCGGTCTCCTGACCCTGCGCACCCAGCCCCTGTAGACGCAGCGGTCTCACTGTGAGGAGGCCCAGGCTCATTCTGGGGTTGACCTCACCCCGCGTAAGGCTGTGTGAGGGGAGCACTGTTCTGGCCAGTGCTGATGCCGTCTGCTTCCTTTGGTCCGATGCTTTCCTGATTCCAGGGTCCTTTGCTTCAGAGGATTGGTGAGTGGTTTCTTGGCTGCCTTTGCCCAGTTGTGGTCTAGCTCCTGGCCTCCAGACTCCTCCTCACTGCCTTCCTACCGTGAGCCTCTCCGTGGAGAGCTTAGATTTTCATTGCCTGATGGCGCTTAGAGACCTCTGCATCTTGAACTTAAATGCGTAATTTTGGTTACTTACATTGACTGTACGGTGGCTCCCGTTGGTGTTTAATTGGCTCTTCCTGGCCTAGTGTCCTGTGGCCCACGAGCTGTATGCCGCCTGCTCTGCGTGGCCGCTGCCCCAAGCATACTGGCTCCCCCACCCCCGCCATGTTTCCCACCTGGAGCCCTCTGTCCCACAGCTCTTCTCTGGACTCGAGGAATCTGAGCACGTGGCGCTCGGTGTTCTCTTCACCCCATGTCCTTGGCCTGTGGGTTCAGCTCCGGGAACAGGCGCGCAGCTGTTCTCTCCAGGGTCATACGGTGTGGCCCTGGTGCCAGCCTGGCACAGCACTTGGGGTTCTGATGTCCCTCCCACCTCTCTCCCTCCTGCCCTCCCTCTCTCTCCCATCCGTTTTCTTCCCTCTCTCCCTCCCTCCCTCTCTCTTCTCTCCCCCCTCCTCTCTTCCCCATTCTGCTTCGAATCACTGGCCCCGGGCTTGGCCCTAGGCAGAGACCAGGTGGCTCAGCGGTTTGTCTTTCCTGTGACCTGTGGTGCTTGGTGTCCCCACTCCTCTGAGAGTCTTCGGTCACAGTCCAGTGGAGCAGGTTTAAACCCCCGTGTGTTCATGTTAAACACCCACAGTTACTGTAATGTAGAAGCAGAGAGCTCTGGAACTGACTTCTAAGTGGCCTGTGTCTCCGTGCTTATTCCACTGTGCCCCTGAGACCGCCCATCAGGGTAGTCTCGCTGTGCTGCTGGTGGACGTAGCTGCTCTTAGGGTTGGATGGAAGCCCACGTCACGCCAGCGGGTAGCTCCCAGAACCGCGGTGTCTGCCTTAGGGAGGGCCCCCAGGCACTCTGTGCTTGCCTGGGCCATCCGCACACAGTGAGTCTGCTGTGGTTCAGTGACTGATTGCTTTCTTAAACAACATTTGAAATTCTTTATGTGTCATCTGTGTGGCAGGCTCCTGCCAGGGCTGCATGTTCTTCTGGTGGACAGCAGAAATCGTGCAGGTCCTTGTGGGTGCTGGCAGTGCCCTGTGCCATGGCTACACATGCGCTTCTGTGACTGTCCCTAGCCCTGCACACATGGGGCGAGTGGGCATACCTGGAGAGGGGTAGCCTGGTGTCCGTGCCTCTGGGGCCCTGCTGAATTTTGAGGGCTCCTTGTGGGATGTGCTGGCTCCCAAATGCAGATATTTTGACAGTGTGTATTTCTCTTTGTAGAAATTTAAAAGTCTGTTGATTCAAGAGCTTTCTAAAGTTTTCCCAGAAGACATGGCTAAATACCGAAGCATCCGTGGGGAGGCTCATGCACCCCCCTAAGTATGTGACACCCTAGACCCTTGCGAATTCCCGGGACGGAGCCAGCGGTGCCTGTGACTGTCAGCGCCAGTCCTCCTTCCCGACGTGGACTGACCCGGGACGCCCCCAGTTTCATACCTGTCTTGTGCCCCGTGGGACGGCCGAGCTGGAGGCTGTGTGGAGCCATGCCCCGCTGTCCTGGAGCCCCAGTTCCGAGGTTCTGGTCCTCGGGGGAGATGGGCTCAGGAAACAGCTTTGGAAATACTCGATATAATTGGTAAATTGCAAGAAAAAATTCCATTTGGATTTTTTATGTATTCTTTATATTCCATGCTACTGTGGCATTAGAAAGCAAATAAATTGGTTTTGTATTTTACATTTCAGGTGTAGTGCTTAAAGACTCTGCACTGTGTTCTTGCCGTTTCAGTTAGACTTGTGTGCAGTAAAGTCTTTGAATATCTGTGTGGCTCATTCCATTATGAGACAGTGCAGCATGTCTTACTACTTCCCCAAAATGCTAGGAATATTTATAAGAGTTTTTTTCTCTATAGACATTTGGGCAGGAAAAACTAGAGCAGAATGGGGGGGTTTTGTACTTTTCTACAACTCTTCAGAGGGTCTGAGAGGCACTGAGGAACACGGAGTCCTCACTCTGTGGAGGACCCTCAGGCCGTGCTGGGCCCAGGGAGGTGGTGCCCTGTGTCAGCCCTGTGGCCCCTGCTCCGGGGCTGGAGGACCAGCTCCTCAGAGGGCAGAGCCCCAGGTCTGACCCCATAGTCGGGCTGAGGGTCGGCGGGCACCCCCCTGGTTCCTTTGCTTCCCCTCTTGACCCAGGCTGCGACTGCAAGGGGTCTCTGCCAGCACCACAGCCCAGGCTCTCAGATGACAAAAGGTCACCTCAGCTGCAGAGGCCGCCAGCTCAAGGGGCCCGCTCAGAGCTCAGGGCAGACGGGGCTTCTTTGCCCTTTTCCTCCTGGGACCCAGAAAGGAGCCCTGGCTCAATGGTGTGGGGTGGTGGAGTGCAGTGTGGGTTAGAAAGAAGGGAGCCTGGCTGCAGGAACAGGTGGTGGGGTGCAGCGGCCCGTGCTTCCGCCACCCAGTACTCTCGGGCAGACTAGCAGCGTAGACTTTGTCTCAAGAAAACAGAAAGCTGGGGACATAGCTCTGGGTCCGGCCCCCAGTGCCGTCTTACATAAATAACTGAACACCCCCCGCCCCTCCCCAACAGGCCTGTCCAGGAAAGAGAGTGCATGGTCCAAGCCCATCCTGGGGTTCCTGGGCAGAGGTCCTTGGGGCCCAGCCCCTGCCAGTCCCAGCCCCTCCCTGGCAGCTGCTGGAGCCCTCTCCTCTGGGTCCTCAGCTGTGTTCTCCTTGGGCCCCACAGCCTTGGCTTCCTCAGGAGGCGGCCCGCCAGGCCCTCGGTGCCATCTCGGGCTGAGATCCGGGGTCATACTCCACCTGCTCTTCCCTGGCTCCTGCCCATCACGACCCAACTTGCAGTTTTGGTGCATGTGCTATTGGCAGGAGCCTCATAGGGCTCCCCAAGGACTCCTCCCCACCCCCACATTCCCTGGCAAATGGCACCACCTTCCCTTCCCGTTGTACCGTCTTGGCATCCTCTCTGTCCCGCCAGCTTACCCCCGTCGCAGTGCAGCCATAGCTGAGTCCCACGTTCCCCTTTGCCCTCCCCCTTTTCATCCACTGGCATTTCATCTCCCGTCTGCCATCCGCATACCTTGGGGGCTCCTGGCCCTTCGGCTCACTCAGATTGCAGGTGAAAGGCTCTGATGATGAACAGGTTCTCCCACAAGGACCCCAAGAACAGCAGCCCTGGTGACATCTCCATACCAGGACCTCTGCACCCGGAGCTGTGCGATTAGAGATTCCCATCCTTAGGCATGCGGTGATCTGTTAGAGCAGGGGAGCAGAGCACCCTCCCTGCCTCAGCGGTCAGCAGCGTGAAGAGGCCTTGTGCTAACTGCTTTAAAAATAAGGCTATCCACATGCTGTGCTGGCCGGTTTCCCTCCCACGGACAGAAAAGAGCCAGGATGGCTAGTCCAGCTTGGGTGAAGGAAGCGGAGGAGGGCATGCTCACTGTCTTGGTAGCACATTCATCGTGGTTTTGATCATGACGCTCAGGGAAGAGGACTTCAGATTTCTTCAGACAGTGAGTGGCAGAAGGGATGGGCTGAGGGGGAGCGGGGCAGATGGATCTTCTACTGTAGTAAAGTGTTAAAATTCGGTGTTCCCGGGAGTTTTGACTCACCCCTGTGTGACAAGCCTGTTTACTGGTTATACTAGAAGGTTTGTGGCCCCAGCTCTCTGTAACCAGGGATCTCCCTGAGCTGTACCTCACAGTTGCAGAACCCTTTTGCAGAGAAGGTGTCAGATGTCAGTGGACAGGCTAAAGGTCTCATCCTCCCCTTCTTGTGAGAATTTTCATTGCTCTCACTGGAGGTTAGCAAGACAGCGATTGTTCTGAGGAGCAGCTCTTGGCAAAGGAGAAGGGACAGCTGAGTCACTGCCATCCCCAGGGTCCCTCTGTGCCCCTTGACTCGGTTTCCAGTCACCTGAGGTGGTGAAGCTGCAGGGGTCTGCCCACACCCCAGCCCAGAGGCCAGGACTGCTTTGTGGTCACCCCTTGGCAGGGCTGGGCTCCCTCTCATGGCCGAGTCCTTCTGCCTCCTCCAGCTCCTCTCAGGATCTTTGCTAACCAAGGCTGAGCTCTGAGGCATCATCCCCAGCCCGCCGCACTGCTGTGCCCGCTGGTGTGGACTCCCAGCTCGGGTGGCCTTGTTGGGCTGGGTCAGGTCTCGGCCCATGTTTCCAGGCCTGCTGGAGCTTAGCTGCTGCCCACAGCAGTGCTCGTGCCTTGCTCTTCCAGCGCAGGTGGCCTGAGGGTTGCAGGAGGGGACCAGGCCTGGCAAAAACACTGCCATCGCGCCAGTCTGTGGAGACAGAGGAATACCCGAGTTCTTGCACACTTGAAGGTAAAAAAGCAGTGTTGTGGGTGGCAGTGGCAGCTGAGAAAGCGGGAATCCTTGTGGATGTCCTTCAGGCTCACACGCTCAGGAGGAAGCTCATTATTGCACAAGTGCTGAGGATGAGAAGAGAGGAGGAGCAGGGTTAACCGGGCAGCGTGGGGGGCCCCGGGCGGGACACGGAGGGCATCCCTGCCCCTCGGCAGAGCTCCAGCCGGATGCTCATGTTCGGTTTCCTGCAGGGGAAAAGGCCTCTACAGATGCGGCTTCCTCCTCCCCGGATACTAAGCACCCACGTGGACACTGGGCTCTCCTGAGCTGGGAAGTACAGGCTTGGGAAAGGTCCGGTGCACAAACAGGTCATTTCCTTTTGGTAAGTTTGCAGCAAGCACAAATAAATGGGGTGCAGGTGTTCCCTTAGGGTGAAATGCTTTGGGGATGAGAAGGCTGCTGCTGTCGGGGGCCAGTGCTGGCCACGGTGACTGCTGTGACACGGACCATGCTGCTGTATTACACAGCCATAGGTCTTTCCAGCTCCTGCAGGGACAGCGCCTCCAGACACCTGCACACTCCAGCATCAAGCAGACTAAGTGGTGGACAATTCCATCCCAACGTTGGTGTCTCATTTAGGTGTTTTGCAGGCAATATGTCCTTGCGTTGAGAGAACACAGTCCTTGTATTCCTGGAGGACGGCAGCCTGGGCGCTGGGCTGATCGCTGGTTGCGGCTGACGGAGGGGTTGTCGGCACACAGTGGCAGGCCTGAAGACCTGGGCTCTGTGTGCTGGCCCTAAGGCTTCATGCTTGCTGATGGGCTTCCCAGGACTGCTCTGTCAGACAGCCTGCCACATGTTCCAGCATGGTGTATGGGTGCAGGAGGCCACGAGCCTTCCCTCCTCCAAACCCACCTGAGTTGACCCTCTTGGAGGAGAGCTACTATCTATCTGTAAGCAGCTGGGGACCTAGCTGCTTGTTCCCTTGGGGGCCTTTGCAGCCTGAGGCTTGTCGAGTTGGTTGTGCTACAATCCCCTTGTCACCTAATGTTGGACCGCTTAGCGCTAGGCTCAGGAGGCAGATGTGTCAGCTGCAGTGGGGCGGTTATAGGCAGTGACACCAGTGTCCCTTACCAGAGGAGACTGAGGTCCCTGCCACCAACTCCAAGGAGAGACCTTGGTGTTATCCCCGAGATGCATTGGGATAAAAGGGCTGCTCGGACTGGCCAGCAGGTCACCAGCCCTCAGGCCTGTGAGCAGGCGTGGTGGGTGTGGCCTCATCGAGTCCTTGGGCCAGAGGGAAGCTGCACCCGGTCCCCAGCGGTTGAATTTCACTGAGTCTTTCCTCTCTCTCCTTTCCTTTCCCTCCTTCCTTGTTTTCTCTCTCTTTCTGTCTCTTCCCCCTCTCCTCCTTTCTCAATACTAGAGCTTGACCCAGGGCCTTTGCACTAAGCTACACCCCCACCCCGCTTTTACATTTTATTTTGAGATGATCTTTCTAAGTCACAGGGCCCTCTGAGGACACTAAGCCACTGACTTCCCAGTTTTCCCAGAAATGCCTGGTACCCGTAACTTAAAGGCAAGGAGGTTGATTTTGGCTCAGACCATGGCTGGCTTGCTGCAAGGCAGAAGCAGCACAGGACAAGGGCTGGATGAAGTGTGCTCCCAGCATGGCAGCCAGGAAACAAAAGGGAGGAGCTGGGGACAAGAACACACAATTCCAGGTCACACTGTGTCTCCACCTCTGCTAGCACGTTCAGCTCGGAACTGGCGGGTGGACGAGTGGACGATCCATGGGTGTGTGTAATGCTCCATAATCTAATTACCTTCCGAACACAGGAGATACTTGGGACATCTCTGATCTAAACCATAACTTAACATCGGCAATGGTGCAAGAGCAGAGGGCTCCCTCCTCTGCCGCCCTAGAACTGCAGTTGGGACTTTGCCCACTGCTGCCCCCACTGCCCTGCCCTGGCCTCTTCTGGTGAGTTCACTTCCATGTCTGCCACAGTGGAGTAGAGAAGCTGCCCAGCCCCTCATCTAGTCACACCAGCAGACAAGCAGATGTGGGCCCAGGTCTCCGGGTGCAGGGATTCCTAGAAGCCCTCGGGAGGTACAGTGTGTGGGAGCTTCCTGTGGCAGGTGATGGTGTGGACAGTGGCGGCCTTGTCTTCTCCAGCAGGCTGTGTGAACCTCAGCCTCTACCTCCCTGAGGCGCTCTGTCCTCACCTTCCTGCTGCTCCTGTCCCCTTCCTCAAGGCCAGGGTCCCTGGGAAGCAGTCCTCCTCTTCTCCCACCCCCTCCCTCCTTCCTTCTCTCCACCCTCCCTCCTTTCTCTTGATGACTCCAGCTCTCTCGGAGCCTACTCAGGATCAGGAGCAAACAGATCCTCCTAGGTGCTCC